AAGCGACAACTTCTGTTCACAAAGATTGTTCATCATATCATTAAATCTTTTTATTACTATAAAATAAACTAAATTTAAAAAAGGTTACCTTTACACTTCTCTTAAAAAATTAAAAGACACTACATATCATTAATTATTTGACTAACCGGAACCAAAATCTTAATACAATAATTATGTTTTTACTCATGAGTAGTGGTGGGTATAATAGTAAGGTAATTATATATATTAGTGAAATATTTTTAGCAAATAATGATAGTTTTGTGAGACTTAAGATTTAATAAATGTGATGTAACCAAAGTTGGTGAGAGGAAGATGTAGGTGGTGGAACTTAAATGAGACAAGATTGATTAGGGAACATGGACACCTGTCTATGAATTTATCTTGTGTGGACCTATGCTTTACTATTTGGGTGGCAATGGTTTAGTTGCCTAAGCTATTGGGAATTCATCAAACCAATCTTTTATTCACACGTAATTCCTTCAACTTATTTCTCAAAAGTGTGAGAGAATAGTTCGAGATTGTTTTATTCATAGATATAAATTTCGATTTCAAATTTAGCAGAGAGTAGTATTGAAAATATTCTTGAACTTGATATAAATTATTAGTTATATTTTTGAACTATTGATAGTCTTAAAAACATTTTTTAACTTGACTAAATAAACCTAGATACACTCTTAAAGTGCAACATGACATAGCAAGCGGTCTCAAACTTTTGTGGTAAAATGATACTCTTAATAAAAAATCGAGAGAAGTGTTGAAAACAACCCTAAAATTGGTGAGCATTTAAGTGTGTATTTGACGCATGTTGCAAGATGGGAGTGTATTTAAATTCAGTTAGTCAAGTAAAAATATGTTTTTAAGACTGTCAATAGTTCGTAGATGAAATGATAATTCACGCCGAATTTATTAGTAGGGAATGCTTTTTTTTTTTAATTCCTACCCAGTGTTCGAAGCCCTTATTAGTAGGGAATGTTTTTTTTTTTTAATTTTCCACTCTGTGTCCGAAATCAGCATTGGAGCCCCGATTAAATCCAAATCGCTCCCTTCAAATCTCATTAGGGATGACGCTCCTAATAAAATTTTCTTTGTATCTAGGACTCAAATCCAAAATCTCTGATCAAAGATGAAGCCGTCTCACCACAATACCACAATTGATGGCAGGGAATGCTCTCATCCTTCAGTGGATCTATAAATTGGATAAATAAATTTTCAATTTAAATATATTGGTCCACGTTAATATCTTCTCATTTAAGATCTTCTAAAATATCCTTGTCAAAGTTTTAAAGAAGATTAACATGAAAAGCCATTGATATGTGCTCAAGACAACAAGAGGGTGTCCCATTTTGTACCACTAGCAGCCTAACAAACAAGACAAATCAAACGTTATGTTTTAATTTACTTGGACAAGTAAAACTGCTTATTAATTCATTCAACTAAGGCCAACCGTATTCTTTTTTCTTAAGAATAAAGAAGACACTTTTAAAAAATAATAAAATCTGAATATAGATAAAAAGAAGGCACACTTGTCAATCCATTGTGTTGTGTACCTTATGTCATTCAACATATATTTTTTTTTTATTTTCATCCGATATCTGATATTCATATTGAAAGTCCAACTATTTCAGATTTACATAGGGTTCATTCGGAGGGAAGCACTCTCTGTCAAGAATTTTTCTATCTCATGAATTTAAATTCATGACCTCTAATTAAAAAAAAAAAAACTCCATCCGCTGAAGGATATATTTTGTGGCATGTCATTCAACATATTAATGAGGTGGAAGTCAATTTAACTTTGAAATATTGATTTACCAAGTCAAGAAAGAAGCATCTTTAAAGTATTTTCCTTTGTTATCAAGCATTTTTTTAAAAAAAATTAGCACTAATTTGGTTGTAGACTAGTTTGCATTTCTTTTATTTTTATTGTTAGAAAGGGGAATTGGCCATCACTATTTTAAATGAGGATAAAAAGTTTTTTTCTTTTTAACTTTCCTGATATTGGGAAAAAATGGGAAAAGGAGAAAAAGACAGATAATGAGGTAAAAAAAATTATTTTATTTTTTTCCCTTGGTTTTGACCTGTATATCTAAAAACAAATTGGGAAGTCGATTAAAATGATAAAAGTAAGGGTGAATTGCAGATACTATGAATTTTAAAGTAGGATTTGGTGCTGAGAATAAGCATTTTAAACATATTTTATCGTGTGTGAAGCAAATAGTGCTTAGAAAGGATCAGGTACCATAATCCACATTAACAGCCCCTGCCCCACTTTCACCTTTGCCCCTCTACTTTTCCTTAATTAAAAGTCTTAAAGTAATAAATATGAACACTTTAAAAAAAAATTGCAAAATTAATATAGAAAAGATTTAATCAATATTTTTTTAGTAAAATGAATAACTAATATGAGACATTTATTTATAGTATAATGATTAATTAAATTGGGCTGAGTAAATAGTCATAGAGAAATTAAGACAAGAGGGTTGGCAACCTCACCTCCAAACACTACACCAAAAAACATATATATTTATATATATATATATATATATTGTAATTGTGATTTTATTGAGACATTTCTTAATATTAATATTTGCCAATAAGGTGTGTCATTAATGATATTATAAGATCCAAATTTTAGGTAGTTTTAATGATCATTGTTATTGACCCTAAATCGATGCCATGAAAAAAATGGGATTTTTTTTAGGGAGAAATCTTTTTGGTTAGAAAATTTAATCAGAATAATATTTTATCTATGTTATTTTATTTTTTAAAATATTTTTATCCTTTTAACTTTAACATCTTTTAAATAAAAAATGGAAAAAAGATCAGTTTATTTTAAAATAAAAAAATATTATAATTTTTAAAATTTTCTGACCAAATTTTCTGGCAATTTAACACTTCCCTTTTTTTTTTTTTAGCATAGTTGATAACTTTACCAGCACTCTTTATAGTTACCTAAAATTCAAGCGACTCGGAATTTAATGACAAGTAACTAATTTTCTGTGAAAATTTGAATGGAAGGCTTTATTGTTACAGTGAAATTTAAGATTGTGTGAGAAGTCGAAGGAAGGGATAAAAAAATGAAGATATTAGAAGTTGTATTTAATTTGAATGGACATGAAACGGGTAAAAGAAAGATTTGTCTCTATTGAACTTTATTTATTGTATATTATTACTATATACTATACTAGTTGAAACAGGTCTAATTATACTGTCTTTTCTCAGTTAATTAAGGATGCTTTTGCTTTCCAAAAAAGAAAAAACTGTTTCTGAATTAGAATTCCTAATTTTTCAGGTGACAATTAAATATCACCTTTAAATCTCTATTTATCATCACATCTCTTCTTTACTTTACTACTCTTATAAAGAAACCAAAGATAAACAAACACATAGCTCCCCACCACTTGTTCTTTATATTTTCTTTTATTCACTAGCATTTTTAATTCGTGAATTTACAATGATAATAGGATCTTTTAATATTCTATGTTTTTTCTCGTAAGTGTGTTAATTGTGGAGTTGAGTATCTTCTATAAGACTCTACATGATTTAAACTTGAATTGGCTTAGTCCAGTTCCAATTTTTGCGAAGAATTGTGTATAATCTTCTTCTTCTTCTTCTTCTAGTGCAAAAATCCAAGATTAAGAATTTGAAGATCATGGAGGTTTATCATCGTCCTTATAGGCTACTTCTTGATCCACATCCTGTAATTCCACCTAGTAGTACAATAAGCAAACCTCACCATGGTTACTCAAACGAAGCGAATTTCGATACAAACATGGTGATCATTTTAGCTGCTCTGCTTTGTGCATTAATATGTGCTCTTGGATTGAATTCAATTGTGAGATGTGCGTTACGTTGCAGCAGGAGATTTGCTTTCGAGTCAGAAACTGCACGATTAGCTGCAACAGGGCTGAAAAAGAGCACACTGAGGAAACTTCCCCTCTCTGTTTATGGATCAGGAGTTAATATTCCGGCTACTGATTGTCCCATTTGCCTGGGAGAATTCGTTGATGGTGAAAAAGTGAGAGTTTTGCCGAAATGTCACCATGGATTTCATGTGAAGTGTATAGATATTTGGTTGGCTTTACATTCTTCATGTCCAACATGCCGGCAATCGTTGCTCGAACAGAACACAACGGCAGCAGCAGCAGGGGATCTTGAAACTGGATTGAGGCAATCTCCTCCTCCTCCTGCTGCTCCTGCTATTGCTGCTGAGGAGGTTGGTTAATTTGCAGTATCTTTTTGTTTTAAAAGGGAAAAATATGTAGGTGTTTCAGTCTTCAGATCATTTGTTTGTTTGGCAACGTAGTCAGAACCAACCAGTTCTTTTTTTTTTATCATATACACAAGATTGATATAGCCTTCAATTGCACAAAGATGTGCTAGTAAGAATTGATGTCATTCTTCATTTGAAAATTTTGAGTTTGTTTTCTTTTCCATCCAAACCTGTATTTGGAAACTGTTTGATTTATTCCAATCTTTGAATTTGTTTTGAACTTGTCTTCTTAAGAAAATTGCTCAAACTTGCATATTCTAGGCTAAATGGTGGAGTTGAGGTATTAACTTTTTTGGTTAGGTGCCAATTGGTTATAAAAGAAAGTTGATTGATTTTACATGAAAAGAACCATTAGTTGAGTTGACTTTGAGGTTATAAAAAAACAGTTGAGTGACTTTCTATGAAAAGAACTATTAGTTGACTGACATATGAGATATTAACTCTTTGGATGAGTAAAGCAGAGTTCATACTTATTCCACATGGCATGTTTTTTTGTGATTATAAGCTATTCGTAACAATTTACGGTTGCGTTGTCAGATGTCAATGGTAAGATGGAGGTCTTGTTACTATGGCCAGCTAGTCATGTAGATCAAATATCAAACCATGATCTTGAACTGCCAGCAACACTGCTACTACTTGATTAATCATCATCAGCACTCTGGAAACTGCAAATTTGTTCATAGAAAGCCTAAAGTTTGAATATTTGTTATGCTTTTTTTTTCTGTTTGTCTCTGTTTGATTTGATAAGGCACATTCATATATTGATTGTTAGCCATAAGGAACAAAAGGAATCATTAGCATGTGCTAAAAGAACAGAATCTCTCTGCACAACTTTTCATCATATAGCTCTTTTCTCCCCTTTTATAGGTCAATTTGGTCCACAGCATAGTTATTTGCAATTTGCAAAGTAAGGTATCAACTGGACATTTAGGCAACAGACCCTCTCTGCTACCTCCTTTGACGTTTGATTGATCAGCATTATCTTCTACTTGATTAGGTTCAAGTAGAAAAGAATGCTCGTAAATACTACCATAGTGCGCAAAGGAACAATGTAGAATGATGATTGAGTTGAAAGAAGTCAATTCTAGAATTAAGATTGAATACCCTTTCCACTACTTGCTTGCAATTGCGATCTGTCACCGCGTTCTAGTCATCAATGAAATGGGTGAAAATCGTATGAGATTACGCTCAAGTTCAGTACAAACAAAGAAAGGCAAGAAATTTCCCATTTGCATAAATGTTGGTAGACAGAATTAACAAATACCTATGCTAGTGGGAGGTAGTAGGTACATAATAAAATTATCGTTGGCAAACTAATGTGGCCTTTATATAAAACAAAAGAAAAACAGTAAGTGCAGTGCTAGGAGACAGCATGTGTGCTCATTCAAAGCAACCCAAGTGCCCAAAGTACCGCATCTGTACGAAGGCATACAGCAGTGTACCTTTTGGAGCCATTTCTTGATATTCTTCTGATAATTGAAAGTAGAGTGCTAATAGTACTATGATACTGCTTTATTCAAGCTGCTTTCCATGTAGCAAAAAGTATTGATTGAAATATTTTTTTTCGCAAAATGAAGTTGCGGATGCTCTTGCAAAATGTTTTGCAGGCACTTGACTCACAGTTGCTAGAAAAAGCTCTCCTCACTGTATTATACATGCTGTTATCAAATTAGATGCACATAGCTACTCAAAACACAGCACATAGGCGTTTGTTTCTACTTACTTCGATAATGATGAGGTCTATGCAATCGCATCCTTCAATCTCTTCGACTTCTTTCTTGATTTTGAATCCTTCACAAATCCAGTGCACTTGGTAGTCCTGCAACGAAAGACATCGTGCTTTCTATATGAGTCCCCGTATGTACCAACTTCTTTATATTTGAAGGCAAGTGTAACTCGGATACAATGGTGGACCACTCAAAGGTAAGGTGTAGTATTTGAAGCTGGGTAGCACTCTCCAATAAATCAAATATCGTTCTAACATAATGAATGTGCTAACAATATATTACTTCAGGGGTTGTCTAAACCTGTCATAAGATTTGTGTGGCTATACCATATACTATCAACATTGTCGTTAACTAATTATACTCATTAATTTCAGGGACTGCCATTGTCCTCCTGGAAAGCTGATTAGGGGTTTGACAGGTGATATCGATATATCTGGCTTCCTATGATGTTCAAAAACAAAAATGAAACAATGATTTGACAGAAGGCAACAAGAAATCACAGTAAAAGACCATCTGATATATATTTGTCTCCAATCATACAGAAAAAGAGTTGATCAATTAAGACAAACTTAGCAATCAGTAGTAGTGTTACAATACCATGGTTGTGGTTACGGGTACATACTTGATTCACGGCCTCCTTATATTCCTTCCCCCCAAATTCTGTATTGCGCATATTGTTTGCACATTAGATGCACATACATACTCAAAAACAGCACATAGGAGTATGTTTCTACTTACTTGGGTAGTGATGTCAACACAGTCACATCTTTCAATCGCTTCGACTTCTTCCTTAATTCTCACAGCTGAAGCCTCCAGAGATTTGTTGTTGCACAAAATCAACTTAATTTATTTCAGTGGTGGAATATCTACAAAGCTAAGGGGGATCTCCTTGAGATTGTCGCATGCTCTTATAACAAGTGTTTCGAGCAGGGAAAGGATTCCTCCAAGGCATCCCACCTTGAGATACTTAAGCACGACAGTTTCAAGAACTTCAGTTTATGGAACGTGATATCTCGAAGGCACCACTCTTTTGATTGAGAAAAACTCGGTTCAGAATCTATAAGATACAGATCTTGTAACTGGAGATACTCCAGGCTTGGTAATCCCGCAATGAAGGAAATTGCTCTTTCTATATCAGTCCCGAATAGTACCAACTTCTTTAAATTTGAAGGTACTTGTAACCCGGACACAATTTGGGGCCACAAAAAGGCGTAAGAGATACCACATAGTGAGGCTTCAGAGGAGGAGTAAATTTTAAGGGTAAAAACTAACATAGTACCACCAAGTAGAAAAGATTGGTGGTAAAAACTAATATAATACGCCAAAGGAACAAAGTAGATTGATGATTGAGTTAGAAGAAGTCAATTCTAGAATTAAGATTGGATCCCCTTCCCACTACTTGATTGCAATTGCGATCTGCCACCGCTTTCTAGTGATCAATGAAATGAATGAGATTACCGCTCAAGTTCCAGCACAAACAAAAAAGGCTAGAAATTTCCATCTGCCTAGGCAGAATAACAAATACCTACGCCAGTGGGAGGTAGTAGGTACACGATAAAATTATCAAACTAATACGGCCTTTATATAAACTTCACTAAACTTCAACGATGTAAAAGACCTACAGTGGTGTAGGTTTTTTAGCAACGTTCACTAAACTTCAAAGACTGATTTTAGATTACAACTCAATAATCAAATGAACTAACTCCAATACCTCGAACAAATCTGTTTACTCCGACTAATAAACTCAACAAAAACTTATAACTCTAAGTCTCTAGCATTCTACAAACCAACATTCAACACACATAGTGACTCTTGCTTAACAAACAAAACTTCAATAAACAAACAATTACAAACTCGATCACACCTAACAACTACTAGACCAGTTCTCAGAATATGCAGTAGGTGCGGCTAGCAGTAAGCTTCAACGCCCTATAGCAGTTTTTTCAATACACCCATTGTGCACCAACTGCTCTTGTATTATCTTCTTCTTAAGCTGTGATCTCGTCCTGAGGAGTCTTGATGTCAACCTTCAGCTGAGCATTCTCAGTTTAAAGGGAGTCGGTGCAGTTGATATATGTGAACAGAGCCTTTACTTTCTACAAGTCAACATGCCTAATATGGCCAAAATATTCATATGCTCTTCTTACTTGAAATTTCTTGTCTTCGTACTTCGTACGTCTATTGGTTGAAGTGACAATATTCATAGATCTCCTTTGAGTTAAGTATGTTGGAAATCTTATGGAAAATACCTTTGTCATGAACATTTGTAGGAAATTTTCATAGCTTGAGGCGTGTTGAAAAACCCTGTCCTTAAAGATATTTCACCCGGTATAGATATATTCCCAAATTCAACAAGCTCTTCTAATATAAAATTAGGAGCCAGAAACTAACAAAATTCTTTAATATAAAACCAGCACAAGAATTTTGGAGAAAGAATATTTGTATACTTCACTTCGTCTCTCCCAAAAAAACAAGAGGTGATGACACTTTATATAAGAAGAGGATTCGGCCAGAAAATGGGTATTGAAAGACCCTTTAGGACAAGAATAATACTTCTTCTCTCCTTAATTACTTGTCCACTTTTTCTTTTTTAGTTGTTCCTTATTACTTGTCCATTTTGACAAATCAACAAAGAACATAAAATAATATTTTCTTTCAAGTATAATAGGTAAAATAATTCCTTTTGAGATATTACAAAGTATTCATATAATATTTCACATCATTATAGGTATCTTTACTTGAAATATAAATGAAAACAGACAGCCATAATATGGTCGCGCTTGTATATATGAACACATAGGCAATTAGTCATAAGATAAAACAAGAATTAGCACTTGATGACTTGAATAACTAGATATCATGTTTATTGAAATTTAAGTGCTATATAGAGATTCTACTTGAGTAGCTAAATGATCTTTGTCGTAATTTACTTATTATAGATCGTTAAATTAGGTCTTAGGCCTAACTCACACCTCAAAAGTTAGCTCAAAGGGAGGAGGATTGCCCAAGCCTTATAAGGAGTCTACCCATCTCATTAACCACCAATGTGAGACTTTAGTTATTCTTTAACACTCACCTCACGCCTAGTGCTTAACATTTGGTGCGTGGGCAATTTTGACTTTGGGCCCCAACATTGGGTGAGACGGACCCTGCTTTGATACCATATTAAATTAGGTCTTAGGTCTAACTTACACCCCAAAAACTAGCTCAAATGGAGGAAGATTGTCTAAGCCTTACAAAGAGTTCACCCATCTCATTAACCACTAATGTAAGACTTTAGTTATACTTTAACATAGGCCTTTAAGGCAGTACTTGAATAAAAGCTACCTTTAACGATGGGAGGGTATTCATAGGTTTTATTTAAGATATATGTGCGACACTTTTCACAAGGTTGATACCGGACCATTCATAGTGAGCTCAACGATTGTGGTGTACCCGTCTTTGTGGCATCATTTGCATTTGGTAGTCAGCTGGAATGTCACGCACTAGTTCCCCTGATTTGAGCCAAGATATGGCACATATGGCCTGCGGGCAAGACCCTCGTAGCAGGCTCACAGAGGCCCAAGATATAGCACATACCAGTACATGTTATATGTACCCTATGTTGGGGGTGATGGTGGTGCTGCATTTATACAAATGCAGGATCAAGTATACAGATAGGCAAACCTCCACATTAGGCAGTTGTGGTGTTTATAGACTTGGACTGGGCCTTTGGGTAATGCCGCAGTGAACTTCACTGCGTTAGGCATTGCACCACAACGCCTTTTGTTTTTTTTTATACTTGGGTCAATTTTCTCTAAACTCTCATTCCCCATGACTTTTAGGGCATCTCTAACACATTCTTTATTTTACTCTCTAAATATAGAAATTACTGATATAGAGAATCTTTATATTAGGAGACAACTAACTCTAACTCAATTTTCTATTTTTTCACTTTAAAAAAAATCTTATTTTCTGTCCTCAATATTATATTATTATTTTTTATTTTCTTATTTCATAAAATAAATCTTTTTTTTTTTAAATAATCACCCTATATAATTATTACTAAAATGTTGTCGTAACTTTTAAAATTATTATATTACATATTCTATTGGAGGAGTTCCCCTTTAAGCGTGAGGCCGAGGCAAAATACCGCGCTCTATGATGGTGATTTGGGCACTCAGTAGGATTCCTTCCTCCCCTGATACTTGTGATACTGGTTTATGGTTTGCCTTGTTTGGGCAAAAGACATCTTTTATGCTTTCTTGTTTTGGCAGCACATGAATGCTTGTTTTGGAATGTCCTGTTATCTATTGTATCTTTAAATTAACAATTTCTTCTTATATTCAAGTGTTTTGTGTACTATATTTAAATTTATATTTTTTGACTTATTTTAAATTTTATATAGTCTTCATAGTGAAAACAATTATATTTTTAAAGTGACGAATATTTTTTTTTTAAAAAAAACTAAAAATAGAAAGACTGTTAATTCAGGATGAAAGTAGTATACTATTCAATAATAGATTAGATGTTTTTCATTTAATTACTCATTTACACATGCATTTTTCATTTTTGTGATGATTGTTATTTTAAGAAAATTAAAAAATTATAGTAAAAATAAGGGGAACTTACATAAATCTCACTAGTTTAAGAGCTAATTATTTATATACTCTTTAGTTTGCAATATTTTTACCAGAATTTGGTGCCTCCAGATACGTCAAATACATGTATCTTGAATAAATGGGGGTCAATTTTATGTGTAAGTTGTTCTAGATATATTGCATCCAAGTGCCTTCACACGTATCTGGGGTACATAGCAAATCTCGCTTGCCTCCCTCGCCTCTCTCCCATCTCATTCGCCACTCTCTCATGTATTTGGTATCCAGATACATACGAATCACTCCAGATGCATACATATACATGTATCTAATGTGATTCACATGTCTCTGAGATACATACGAATCTCGCTCGCCTCCCTCCTCAATCTCGCTCGCATCTCTCCCTAATTTGGTGTATCTAGTAGCAAATACATGTATTTAAGTGTAAAATATGCATGAAACTCTTAATTATTGATAAGATACGTAATATTTTAAAAGTATAGATAATAACAATATATATGTTAGTGAAGTATATCTACTTATGTAGTTTTTCCTAATAACTTATATCTTAAATAATTTTTTAGTGGAAATATAAATTTAAAATTAATATAATACATTAGAAAATAATTACAAATATCAGAGACTTAATTAATGATCTTATATGATTTATAATATATTAATTACAAATGTTATATAATATAAATTTAATTAAAATATTCAATAATTGAAATAGAGAGCATGAATAAAGAGTAAAATAGATGGGAGTTGAAGATGATCTTAGTGTAGTGTTGTTCCCCATCACAACGAACATTGTATAACTTCTTCTATCAAATTCGAACTAAGAGTGGTTAGATGTGTTGGAATTAAAATATCAACACGCGGTTGAGCATAACCATACATCCTTATTAGTTATTAACATCACACCACTCATCCAAATTAATTGTGCTCTAATAGTTCAATATATAGTGTGGAGTTGCCAGATGTTATAGATATGTACAAAATTTTAGAACTATACGTATTATAGTCTAAATTAATAATCATCCAAATAATATTTTCTAGTGGTTAAATTTTAAATTGAATAAAATTTGGTAAGAATTAGTGATTATTTGCCCCTTTTTGAAAAATAAATAAATATTTGGGATCGTAAATTAAGAGGCTCAAAAAGAAGAAAAAAACTTTAATTATGATCTTATGTGTAACGTCATAAAAATTTATTAAGGTACAAAACGTCAGCGTCGCCATGTCAGCACAATATTCACGCAAAAGGCGTGTGTCATCTTAGACCAATCCATTCCCAAGCTTGTGCCGTTGCTCGAACTGCGCGTGCCACCTCTTCTTTCCACGCATCCTACTTATGTCTATGCCCCTCCCCATTTTTAACCAATCACAAAAACTTACAAATATTACATACTGTAACATAATATTAATTATTTCTTTTAATTTTGTTACCCAATTAATTTAAAAGCAAAACTATAGAATAGTCAATTTTCCATATTTTAAACGCGTCAAAAAATACATTCAATTTATATTTGACTCATGGGAAAATAGAGGTATTTTTGACCAATAGTGGTCCGCACCTACTATTTGCTTGTTCGTGGCAATTTCTTACTCTTATCAATTTAGTTTGGCGTGTACTCACTCCTAAATACATTAGGACACGCCCCTTTAAAATGGGTGACGCTTTTTCTTGTTAATATAACCGCCCAAAACCCGAGCTTAATCCCTTCTTATTCGGAACATCAAATCTGACTCCATTCTTACTCAGCCCCTAAAATCCCCTTTTTCTTATTTAATTCTGGTTTACAGATTCATCATATCCTTTAAAGGGGAATTGTTTTTTCCTGCTCAAAGATGGCATCGTTAAAGATTCATCCTAGAACCCATTCATTGATTCAATTTAACAAACCCAATACGGTTTCTGATTTGAAATTGAACTCTTCTCTCTCAGTTTCTGAGCAGATTAAGAAAAGGGTGTGTTCTCATCGTGTTTCGTCTTCTCTATCTTTATCAAATTCATGCGGAGGAGGAGGAGGAGTTATGAAAGAGGATCAGAAAACGGAAGGTGTATTATCAGGGAAGATTGATGAATGGATGAATGAATCAGTGGTGGATATTGTGAAGAACTTGAAACAAGCGCCGTTGTTGGTTCAGATATACTCTGACGATGGAAAAGGACAAGTGAAGATCAAGACGGAGAGAGCGGTGGAGGAAGATTGGCCGATGAAGAAAAGTGAATGGGAGAAGAGATCACCAGATGGGCTTATCTTCGTTGGAGAACTTGGAAGTGAGGATGAGAAACTTGTAGAGGAAGAAGGAGAAGGAATAACAAAGGCATGGGGAGTAGTTGTACAGGGGAAAGGGATGGAATGTTCACCAGCTTGTTATTTGTTGAAAACCAGTAGAGTTGGTGCTGGATTTGGGATGGGATTGTTTTGCACACATTTCTGTTTAGCAAAAGTACAGAATTTTAGGGACAGTGCTCTTATGCAGTTTCAAAATTCTTGGTTGTTGCAATGACTATTCATCAAATCATTAATTCTTGTGATTCACCAAATGTATAAACAAGGTTTTACTCATAATCATACTGCTTTGATTTGGTTGTTATTTGTTGAGTAATGTACGAATGACACTCATCCTAAACGTGTATTGCAAGGCTTGAATATATTGTTTGCCATCTTTATGACATAGAGAAACTGTGAATCTAATAATATTAGTACAAACATATTTTGCTCGAAATAGGCTAGTTATCTCTCAAGGAGAAGGAATGGGACCTGCAATAAATTACGTAGGTTTTTTAAAGGATTTTTATGTCTATATATTGATTTTGAACCTCCTAAATGTAAGATTAGAGGTTGACTCAATGGTTGAG